CACCATCTGACAAGTGGACCAATCAGGTTCCGCCATGTGTCCGTCACATGGGCCAATAGGAGCCTGCCACGTGTCAAGCAATGGTCCGTCCAGTATGGACCAATTACGACACGACACGTGTCCTTCCCATGACACCTAGGATAACCGGTCACCTAGGCCCAACTTCCGAGGGAAGCCCAATCAGCCCAAGGTTAACCTAAACCTAGATTGGCACGTTTCCCGAGGTTATAAATACCTCCCTTAATCCTCATTAAGGGGGATTACGCAAAAAACGCAGATTACACACATTAAACTCTCTCACCTAGAGAGACCCAATCACTTTAATTTCCGCACTAATTACTCCTTAATCAAGTACTAACTTGACCGTAGGAGGCGGATCTCCAATCATCCGGAGCATCCGTTTGTTTTGCAGGTACAGGCGCCCGGTTCCAGTTTCGGAATTGTAACTCTCCCGCAGGACATCAGAAAACCCCGAAACACTTAGCTTCAATGGAGGAACGACGAAGAGGGGAGATGAGTTGAATGAAGCAGCGTGCTAAGGAGAAGAGAGGAGGGGAAATTGTCTTCAATGGAGGTACCTCGCACCAGGCCACTTCAATGGAGGAACAAAGAGGGGAGCAAGTTGAATGAAGAAGGAGGAGGGAAAACGCAGAAGGAGGGAAAATGGAGGCCACTTGCGTTTTTTTTTTTTTTTTTTTTGCAATTGAATGAAGACGATGAACAGTGGAAGAGTAGGGAAAACCCGCAATTTTTTTTAAAATTTTGCAACGGTTAACCGTTGCCAAACCTTTACCTTTTATTTTATTATTTTTTTTAAAAAAAAACGCAGTTGGCAATGGTTAACCGTTGCCAATGTTAATCATTTTGATCATATTTAAAATGGCGCTCACTTAAGTTGGCAACGGTTTTCATGAACCGTTGCCATAGGGGGGTTGCCTATTTCTTTTATTCTATTAGTGTTATGAATTCAAGATCGCAGTTTCTGACAATCACGCCGGTAACCGTCAAACGTTGTCATTGATGAATTTCCATCCATTTCTAAAATTTTCATTAGAATTTTTAAGAAGCTTAGCTTGGTTTCGGTGGAGCACAGTTGGGTTAAAAGGGAAATGTAGGAAGGAAGCAGTTTTGAGTGAGAGCGCTCTGAGATATGATGAAACGTGAGGTTAATTATGAGTAACTGATTCTTAGTGGGCAACATTTTATGATATTGTGGTCTTACATACCCTAAAGCAACACTTTTTTAATTGTTGCATTGTAATGTAGTATAGATTGTTAATATCAAGGTAACAAAAAAATATTGTTGCCATTTACTACAAAAGATAACATGTATAAAAGTGTTACAATGTTTATTGTTTCCTATTCTCATTTTTTTTGTAGTGCATTAAAGGCCACCTTCCTAGTTGGCAATATGTCTGCCATGTGTCGTGACCTGATTGGTCCACCTTGGACCTCTCACGAGGTGACATGTGGCGGGCTCTAGTTGATCCACGTGGATGACACGTGGTAGGGCTCCATTGGTCCATGTGGCGGGGAAAAATCCCCTCATCACAACTAATCATGATACTAAATAATTATTAATAAAATCCTAGGCATGATACTAACATGATTAATATAACGCCTAAACATGATACTATAATTCAAAACACAATTCCTAAACATTATGCTAGTAAGAACAAATATTGTAGAATTAATTAAAAAAAAAGGAATAATTAAATCTACCTACTTCAATTACGAAACCTAGAAACTATATTATGAATAAACAGTTAGTAACTTTAATATAAATAATAAATCAAAAGAAACTAAATTAAATTTAAAAAATAAATTGACTTGAGATTGAAACCCTCAAGGTTTATGATCAACCTCTCACGCTGTGGACCGCCAATAGAGTTTCAAGTGAAGTATTGATGTCGAGGAGCACTCAGAGGAGGAATTTTGAAAGATTATGTAAGAGAGATGGAGAGATTTAGAGCATGAGAGAATATGCGAGCAGAAAATAGTGCATGTAACCCACAAAAGGCCACGGTATTTATAGAAAATAAATGGGAAAATGATATAAAATAAAAAAAATCGCGTCTAAATTAGAATTTCATCGCGCTAACTCAAAATCATCATGCGGCGACGAAAATCACGGCGTAACGATGAAAATCGTCACTGTGCGACAAAACCTGGCGCCATGCGTCAGATTTCAGTTTTTGTGTTTTATTAAAATTAGTCTTTTGCACGTCCCGATTATAAAAATTTATCTATTTTTATATGGTTTTTGAACGCGTTTAGATCTTTAGAAGTTCGTTTCAAACTCAAATTACTTTATGAATTAGATGATTTTTAGAAAATTGAGTTGGAAATTAAAACAAATGAATTGGGCTCAAGATTAAAATAAATATGGGCTACTAAAGTTAAATTAAATGGATCTAGAAATAAAATTAATTACTCCTTTATTTCAATACTAAACCCGAACTAAATGGCAATGAAAGGCTTCCCTCATCACCGGATTTCGGTCGGGGAGACATTTTTGGGTGTCTATAGTCATCGTCTTGCCATCGATCTTGGTCGTGGTTTTCTAGTCGTCAGTGATCGTAGATGTGGTGGTTCAGTTTCCCCCTTTTGGCTAGCTTCTTTAAGAGGCGTTGTGTTTCACTTCCTTGAGAAGCTTTTTTTTAGTAGTATTATGTATTTTTCTTTTTTCTTCTAATCTATTAGTCTTTTCAGTGATAGGGAAACTTTTAGGTTCTAATGATCCTTCCCTGTGAAGGGGGAATTATTAGGCATATGTACCTTACCTTACCTTTACCTTAAAAAAAAAAAAAAAAAAAAACCCACAACCACCACCTTGCATGTATAATTACAACTAGTACCATTAATTTCAAAGCCGTAAGCCAACCCTTGTCCGAATTCGACCTTGATCCGGTCGAAATTGGCAAAAAAAATTCTAGATCTAATGATTGATTTCCCTTCCCCTTTACATTTATCATGGTTAATATATTTTTTTTTTTTTAAATCTGATCTAAAATTTTGTTGTTTAGGGTGCACTAACACCACTGTCAGATCTAGAATTGTTGGTGGTTAGTGACTAGAGAAGAGAGATTTTTGAATGGAGGAGAGAAAGTGAAATGACAAAGTGTAACGGTGGTGGTGATGAGGAGAGACAAAGTGCATGTAACGGTGGTGGTGGCAGAGGCGAGGGTTGTTGGTTCAGGGAGCAAGGAGGAAGGAGGAGAGAGAATATATGGTGGTTCGGTGTTTTAGAGGGAGTTAAATAACTCTGGCTAGGGGCTTTGTTGGTAAAGAAATTAGAGTTAAGTGGGTGATTTTCAACTATTAAACATAGTTAAAACTATATGAGACATGTCCAAAAATAGGAAAAGACTACACATACAATGGTTGTATGTAGTAGCCCATATATAATATGTGTTGGTATTATTGTATTGGTCAGAAATTTGGGCCCCACTTTTAATTAATAAAAACCAAATTTCATTTTGAATTCCAACCCAAAATTTGAACCCCAAAATTTAAATTGAAATTGTTTTGTCATTTACAATGTAGCATTATTTTGTTATTTTTTTAAAAAAAAAACAAATTTATTTATTTATTTTTGTCTATCTTTTTCACCTGATATTTAAAAAAAAAAAACAATTTTTTTTGGTTCATCCTTTTCATCGTTGTTCAGCATTACTATATGTTTGGGAACAGTTAAGAATTCATTGTTAATTATATTGTAAGTATATTAGTCAAAGTAGATAAATAGCTTCCTATTTTGTAGCCTTTGGTTAAGCGTATGTTTTGTATATTGCTTCCTAGTTTGTAGCCTAGAATCAAGCCTTTTGCTAGGCATATACGTTGTATATATTCTGAGGCAATCAATGATAATGACTAAGGAAAATATTTCATAATCTCTCATTCATTTTTGCCATTTTCTCCAACCTTCGCATCTATTCCTTTGCATTTTATTAGTTAGTAAGGTAATGACTAAGGTAAATGCTTAATCAAGATTAATTTCCTTTGTTACTTCGTCAAGGTTAGTTACACTAGTTTATTAGTTAGTCTAAAACATAACTCTACCACCACATTTTAAAAGCAAGATATCATAATAAATAAATAATGCATAAAAGGGCACATACATGATAAAATTTATTAGGCAAGATGATAGTTAATAATAAGATAAAATTAAGAAGGAACTTATCTGGTTGCGTTCATATACCGAGGACAAATATATATAATTCAGTTGCGCCTTTAACAATGATCATAGCCCACAGAAAATACAGTTTAGTGTATTCTTCTAAATTGCCGGAGGAGAATTGCATAATATTTCCACCAACAACAATATACGTGGAGTGTGGCTTTCATAGATTTCGAATATGATTTTTAATCGGATGTGTAGAGTGATCACATTATGATTAACGCTATGAGCATTCCCTTGGTAATTAATTAAACATTCGATTAAGGCTTCATGGTGATGTATGCGAGTCTGATTGACTCATCGTTTCTCAGTTAGTAGTCGCTCTTCCATCAATTGCTTAATCGGCTATGGTTGCTCAATAGGCTAGGGCTTGGTGCTGATTACGTGTTATGAAATTAAAGAGAAATAGGAAAAGTGGGGGAGAGAATAGATTGATATTCTTATTATTGAATGATGTAGGAGTACATATGTATATATACATGTAATACAATTAGGGTTTCCTTGTAAAATAATAAGTTTAGTATATCTAGAATATCCTACAATAATCATAAGGGTATAATGGACATCCACTAAATACATATATTATCTAACAAGATCGGATTATTTCAGGTAATTTTTCCTATTAATTTTGTAAATTACAAACAAGTCCTTAATTTACAATTTTTTTTTTTTTCACGGGACTTTTGTAGTTGCTCTAATAATGTTCCTGAAGTCATCGTGATTCGGTAATTCCAACTCGCCCGTCAGAAGCCACAACCAACTTTATTGTTGACGCTTGATCGTTTCCTCATTCATCCAAAGGTTACTCTCTTCTCTCTCTTTCTCCTCCATTTCCATTTTCTATTTCTTCGATCTTTTCCGAAAACACGTTTTCAACCTCCAAATTTAATTCTAAAACTAATTCAATCCCCAAAAAACCCCAAAAAATTAGGGTTCTATTTCTATTACTTGATCAACCTTTCTAGGTTTTGCTTTGTAAAATTCCCTATCTATTTATGTCAATTCAAGCAATTTTATCAATTTATAGATATTACGTTGTATTCTGAATTACATAATTATATGAATTTTCAGGTTTTTGCAGTATTTGTGTGGTGACGGAAGAGTTCTGAAAGGATGTGGGCAGCTTCGTGTCTAGCGTCATGCTGCGCAGCTTGCGCTTGTGATGCTTGTCGTACAGTGGTCTCCGGGATCAGCCGCCGTTCAGCTCGTATAGCTTACTGCGGTGTCTTTGCGCTGTCCTTGATTGTTGCCTATATTCTTCGTGAGGTTGCGGCTCCTCTTATGGAGAAGATCCCTTGTAAGCTCCCACATTCGCCTATTTACGGGTCTTTTTGTATTTAGCTTTTTAGATTTGTTGCGAAATTGTCGAATAGTGTTAGTAGTTTGTTTGTTTAGTATAATAATTTCATGATATAGAAGATCATTTTAGTAATTAAGGTTTATTGGTTTGAAATTGATGAAGCTAAACAATAAGCTTTATATATGTTTGGGGTTTAAGATTGCTGAAGGATTTCTAAAGATTTGATGACCCACTAGCTTCCAGCCGCCCTGCGCATATCTTTCCGAAAAGTGTGTAGGCTTGCTTCTCATACCGACCTCCTATCAAGTTAGAGTTAGTGCACCACGTGTTTCTTCTTATTGTACAAATTAGAGTTAGGAAGGAGTCAAAAGACTGTTGAAAATGGTAAACTGACCAATCTTTTCTTTTTTTTTTTTATCACATTTTCCATGTAAGATACAAATTTGAGAAAGAACCCTCTCTGAATCTTATTGCATGATATAGCTTAATTTGAACCCATGATGGAAGCCCCAACTATGCATAAATGATGTATCCTAATTTGCGCATATCATACTAAGGCTATGTTTGTTTTGGTGAAAAACATTTTCTTGAAAATTTTATTTCCTTCATTTCTCCATTTTCCTTTATTTTCTCTCCTATTCTTCCCCTCCCTTTTACTTCTATATTCAAACAAACAAAGGAAAACCCTTTTAACAATTATGTTTTCTTTAGAAAATGAAATCATCTTTTTAATGCAAGCATTTATTTTGTTGCTATCTGTTTGGAGTCTGAAGTTAGAGGTGACCTTATGTAGATGAATGGCAAAAGAAGATACCAGAAATGAACTAGATTTTGTAGATTATTCCACTCTTGCCCTTGCTGAGTTTTTGTATCCTCAGACTAGAATCCTGGTATCTTAAACCTAGAATTGGATACTTGACACATAGTGGCTCCCTCCAAATGTTTAATGCTTCCTTTATTGCTCTCTTATACTTTTTCTTGAAGTATTCAGGCCACAATTTGTTGTTTTATACATCCCTGTCGCTCCTCTCCTTTTGTCATATGTAAGGCACACTTGTCATGATAAGTTCTGTTAGTTCTCATTTTTCTATCCCTTGTCACTCTCTACCTTGTCTCCTAGTCACATAGGATTAACTACATTAGTTCAATGTCATTCATATATGCGCAATATCTTTATGATTAAAAAAAACCCCATGATTGAACCCTCAATTTAAATAATTCATTGCTTGGCTTGTTTGGTTTGTTAAGCATGTCTTAGGTAGAGTTGCCAACACATTAGGCTCATTCGCACCTAGCCTCAAGCGTACTAGAGTAATGCCAAAGGCATATTGGATGAATTTCATTTCACATAATCTTTTAAAATTATGTCTCACTTCAACAAGGCCTGTACCTTACGCTTGCTCTTAGAACAATAGAATCTAGACTTTGGGACCCTTATTGCTTTATTGTGCCTTAAGCCTTCTAAAACACTTATTACTTTAACCTGGCTCAAATGGCTGGCACTTGGAACCCCTATCGCCTTAAGCTTTTGGGACTCCTTGCTGTAGTGTGCCTTAAAGTTTTTTTAAACACTGGTATCTCAACCCAATTAAAATGGTCCACCTGATTTCCTTATGATTTTAAATTTTTATCCAGCTTCTCTAATATTCTACTATTTAATTATTATTCATTCTTTTTTTTTTTTTTTTTTTTATATATATATAATTGTAAATATGTTTAAATCTGAATCCGGTGATGACATGGTTTCAACAGTACTCCTATTATTTACCAGTCATACAAGCAAGAATATATTTGCATATATTCTATCAGTTGTGAACTGTGATTAAAGCTTTATAAAGGCTAAGGGAATAAGGGGAATCTTTGATGCAATTTCTCAATGTCAATGAATTGGGGTTTAGTTTGAATTTCTTGATTTTGACTTCTTTTAGTTAATTCAGGTCTGAATCCTATGGCTCTGAAATGCTCCCAGGATCCAAGGACTGAGCATGTTTATTTCTGAAACATCTTGAGAAAACACTCATAATGTTTATAGAAAGCATGGATATAACAAAAAAGGATTTGGCTGTGTTGATTGAACACTTGGGGTGATATTATCTTAATGTATCCGTGTCATGTTCTTATCTTAGCTGCAATAGTCCTGTGGTTCCTACTGGCATTGTGTTTATACATAAACGTGGAAAGTGACATCTTCATTGTTTCCGCAGGGATCAATTATTTTCACCAAACACCTGACAAGGAATGGTTTCAAACAGATGCTGTGCTGCGAGTTAGTCTGGGAAATTTTCTATTTTTCACCATTTTAGCTGTCCTAATGATTGGTGTGAAAAACCAAAAGGATCCTCGTGATAGCTTGCATCATGGTGGATGGATGATGAAAATAATATGTTGGTGTCTCCTTGTACTCTTGATGTTTTTCCTTCCCAATGAAATCATCAGCCTCTATGGTATGAGCCTATTTATTTTTCTTGGATTTCCCCTATCAACTGCATGTTTGTTGTTGTCTCAGTTTCTTTCTTATAATTCTTCCCTCCCCCCTCTCTTTCTGGTTTAAGCTTTTGAACCCCCCCCCCCTCTCCCCCAAAATACGCCCTCTTTTTATTTATTTTTATTTTTTATTTTTCGATGAAGTGTTGTATTTACAATTTAAATAGGATTTGAAAATTGATGACACAATTACATAGTGTTAATTTGAGGAATTGTATTACTTGGGTTTAGAGAGAGCATTTGTTTGTCCTTTCATAAGGTTTTTATCTTTGTATAAATAAAATATATTGAGCAGGCATAATTTATGTAGTGTTTTGCTGATGTTTATTGATTTCTTATCATCTATGAAGTGATGGTTTGGCACCATGTAGAATATGTCTCAGATTGAGTGACTTGCTTTGATTTTGTAGTGTCTAGTATGGGAGTCCAAATTGGATTTGCATATGGATATGAAGCATATGGATTTGCGTGAAAATGAGTTATTTGATCGTAAGGGATGGAGGAGAAAGATTTTTGTGGATGACTATATGGAATAATCACTTTTGGTTCATGTAGCCGACCCCACTTATGGGATTAAGGCTTTGATTGATTGGTTGATAGTATGGGAGTCCTAATTTTCTGCCCCATAAGATTTCCCTACAACTTGTGCCACTCTCCCATTGAATCACATCATCATTTGTTTTAACTTCATTAATAAGTTTTCTCAAAGAAAAAAAAAGGTATTTTTATCCTTCTTTCTTGTGTTCATCCTGCCATGAAATCCAGCAAACTATAGCTACTTCAATTGGCGAGTCGAGCATTTGCGCCCGATTCCCAACCTCACCTGTATTGTTGGTAATTTGCATTAGCAATACTCTCATCTGGAAGTCTCCAAAAGCATCACCAAAATCTAAAAGATTGCCTGTGTGCTGGTTATCATTTATCAACCATTTGGAAACACTTGAAAACCTACCCTATTTTCCAAAAAGAATTTAATTAACCCCCTACAGTGACCATCTTTATGAACGACGGGAAAGAAGGGTGTGGTTTGAGTTGTAAAATCTGGATTTCAAAACTATTATTGCTATCAATTACCAAAAATGGTAGTGAAATTGGGTTGCTGAAAAAAAAAGGAAATATTACTTGGTGGTAATTTTGAATTTGAATTGGTATTGGGTATGGCTCACCGCTGGTGCTGACTGTGAGTCTTGCTGCTAAATGTATAAGTTCGGAAGGGCAATCAAACAACATGACTGCATTCTAATATTATTACAATGAATCCCAAAGATGGGGTTGGCTACATGAACCAAGATTTATCTTTTGTACTCACCAACCATGTTCCTCTCCTTTCATTTCCTTCATTTCAATCTAATGCCCCTGCAAGCCCAACTTCTTTATGTCCTTAACTCCTGAATTTTTATTTATTCATTTTTTTTTTCGTGTTTTTTTTTCGTATTTTTTTTTTTTTTTATTATTATTTTTTTTTTATAAAGTTAAAATAGAATAATGTATAATAAAACCCTGCTAATATGGATCAATGAAAAAAGTGGAACATAAAGTGGTAATTTTGCTGTGGGATCGAAAATTTTTCTCCCCTTTAATGGTTAATTGTTGCATCCCTTGTTTTACAACCTAGCACGGAAGCTTATGCTTAGTTTTATAAAGCTAGGTGAAAGGCACCTCTCCCCTACCTAGGTGTTACACATTCAAAAAGTGTTAAGAGGGTCAGAGGAGCACGCCTATTCAAGGTCCGATGCTCTGCGCTTTGTGCACTATTTGTTCAAAAGCAAGAGTGAGGACTTGCGGGGGGAAATTTGAGGTAAACCTTAAAACTACCCAAAAAAAATCCAAATCAACTCTTACCCTCCAGTAGACTAATTTGAGCAAAAACCCTTTATTAATTGCATGGATATACTTGATTTTAACCCCCAAATTGAAAGCCCTAACTATTGGAAATCCTAAATCACGGTTGGGAAGCGATTACGTTTCTGGTGAGACTCCCATGGTTGTTGGCACCATATCTACCAGTGGTCATCCTCGGTCAAGGAATCCCAGGTCTTTCTCTCTCTTCGAGCTGCACTTTTTTCTTCATTCTCTCCCTTTGTTCTTGTATTCTCCTCTCTTTTTCTGTCTTCATCGCCCTCTTCAATTTTCACTCTTCTGCTTTTCAATCTTGAAGCTTCTTCTCTAAATTCTTTCTCCTCTGATCTGCTGCTAAATTTTTTTGGTAAGATATTGACAGGTATCCCCACACTGATTTTACTAGTTACGTAATACCCCCTCCCCCTTCTGATTGTTTTAAATTGTTAATTTATTAATTTTGAAAACTTTTTATTTTACTATTTTTTTCATGCTTGAATGAAATAAAATAAAATTTCAAACTAAAAAATAAAGTTGCCTTGCACCTTGGGCTCTAGGAACCCTTTGTGCCTCGCGCCATGGCTTCAGGGACTCTTTGCTCCTTGAGTTTTTTAGCACTAAGATGCAATGTTGATAAATGGCAACATTAGTAAAACTTGTGAACCAGGAAAAACCAATAGTTGAACGAATTAGGATTGTCTACGTAGTCCCTTGTATCATGTCCCACAACAAAGGTAAACAAAATATCCAAATGTAATTGTACTGGATCTAATGTACTTGTATCAATGTTATTGTTAACTGATATCAAGATGGGAAAATTGGAATTATAATTGATAGTAACCCATTTGTTGATTAAATCAACTTGACACATTTATCTTAGTATACCTGGAGTTCATGGTTCTTGCTATGTAGTTCTTTATTCTAGTTATTCAGTGTTTTCATTTGAGATGTGATACTTGTTATAGAACTTTTGCCCTTGTAGATTGTCCTGTAGTAGTCTTATGTCAGCAAATCACTAAATTCAATATAAGCTCATGCAAAGTTATTGATTTGTTTTGTTAGGTCTTTTGTTATTTACTTTCTTTTTGCTATGACTAGCAAAATTATATTGAAAACTTAAAAGGCCCAGTTGGTTTAGGGGAATATAGAAAGGGAAACAGGCTAGATTTATACAAGTGAAGAAATCCCTTTATTTATTTGTAGGCTTGTAGCCTTTGTATTAAATCTTTCTCAACCTCCACCAAACTTCCTCTTCACTGTTTCCATTACCCCTCCTGCCTCCTCTATTCTCTCTCTCTCATGTATTCACCTTGATGGGCACATCTTATTGTGATGCCTTGACCCTACTACTCTTTGAACCAAGTTGAACTCTCTTTCATCAAGTGCACTCTTCCTCTACATATGCAATTTTCAGCTATGGATGGGCCATTGCATACCACGGCTTGATGATATCAAGTTGGCTAATACTTTGGCTGATGTATTTTGGTTGATGTCAATTTCCTAAAATCTTTATTTTTCTGGTGAGCTTCTCTATCTCTCTTGAAGTGGCAATGTTTTTTGATGGTGGTGGTTGGTGTGTCTGGGTGCAGAGGTTGTGGTGGTGGTTATCTAGAGGAGAGATGATTGCAATTATGGTACTTTTGTGAGAATAGCAATTGGAAGCAGACACACGAGATGTGGCTGCGGAATGAAAGTGGTGGGTATGGTAGTGTTGTTGACTTTGGGCTTATGCATTTACTGCAAGCAATGTGTCTGTAATTTTGGAAAGGGTAGGGTAACAAATGTAGCAATTGTGATTAGGTCCTCTAATGAAAATATATATTAATTCTTTGAACCTAAAAAGTTGGTAGATTCTAGTCTTTTCCTTAGGAAGTTTGATTTATATTAAAAGTATGCATAGACATCAAGAGGGGAATAGTGATTGCTATTAATGATTTTTATCTTGCTGTCCTAATTATGATGCCTTGGAGTATAGCATTTGCTGTCTAAGTATCAATATTGTCTTAAACTTTAGGTAAACGTCCTTAGAGTTGATTGTTTCTTGTTGCTAGTTTTTGTTCATTATTCAGATTCCCAAAATACCTTGCTATACCTAAGTCTGACATGCATTCAATACCTTTGTAGTGATCCTTGAAAAAGAATAAAACAGGGTTGGCTTTTCATTTTATACTGTTTGAATATTTGTAGTTAATGTTCATGTAAATCTGTTTTGCAGAGGCAACTTCGAAGTTTGGGGCAGGATTATTTCTTTTTGTTCAAGTTGTGTTGTTGCTAGATTTTGTTCATGGGTGGAATGACAAATGGGTTGGATACAATGAGCAATTCTGGTAGTTTGTCTTACTCTTTTATTGAACACCGTTATATTAATGAAAAGTAGCTTTTTCTTGATAAATTTTGTAATTTATGATCTTCCTGACTTTATGTTGTGAATCTCCGTGGAATCATAGGTACACTGCTCTGTTTGTTGTTTCACTCATTTGTTACTTGGCAACCTTTTCCTTTTCGGCTGTACTCTTCCATTGGTTTACTCCATCTGGACAAGATTGTGGGCTGAACACCTTTTTCATCGTGACAACCCTTATGTTTGCCTTCATTTTTGCAATAGTAGCTCTACACCCAGCGGTGAGTTACTCTTATACCAAATTTTCTGTTTACTGCTAAATTTTGTCCTTCATTCTCTCGTTCATTAAATCAGTTGCAGTATATGTTACACTTTTAAGTAAATTTAGTGTTACTTGTTGCATATCGTTCATCAAGACTAAAGCAGTCTAGATATTTCTTTCTAGTGCTGTACTTCACAAAGTTCAAGTATAAAGAGTAGACTTTTTTGCGGGTCTTAGGACAATTATATGTTGTGTCTTTACTTCTATCTTCTCCTTTCTGTGGCTTTTCTTTTGGTTTGGTGTTTTGGGTTCTTTTGTCAACAAATTATTATGTACATCAATTTGTTTTTTATGCTGCTGAATGAGCTGAACAAATCAATTTTCCCTTCGTCCGAGATTAGTTTTTGAACTTTTGTTTTAAGGAAACACCCCACTATTATTTTAATATGAAGTATATCTTTTTTTACTTAACCAAAAATTAGAGTCGGATACTCTCACATTCAATAGAAGTATACCCCACTATCTTCTATCACATCTACTATTTCAATAAACTAATACTCCAATCATCTCCTTTCACATCTACTTTTCCTATAAATTAATGGTTTATAAACAAACAGTTAAACATCTAAAACTATGTGTTATGATAAGTGTTAAAACTAATGTAGGACATAGGGAATATTTCGCAAGCAATTGCTCTTGTTTTTTTTTTTTTTTTTTTTTTTTTTTTTTTTTTTTTTTTTTTTTTGGGGGGGGGGGGTGTGGGGGGGAGGTTGAAGGTGATTTCGGGAGAGTTGAGTGATTAAATGCATAAAAGATAGTTATGTACAATTGTACCAAATTATGAAGTTTATAGTTTTTCCAAGATTATGTTTCTAAGTTGTCAACTGTATGGATATGATCAATTTTGCAATCTGAACTTTGTTGCAGGTCAATGGTAGCATTTTGCCTGCGTCTGTTATATCACTATATTGCATGTACCTCTGTTATAATGGACTTGCCAGTGAGCCTCGGGATTATCAGTGCAATGGTCTTCACAAGCATTCTCAAGCTGTTTCAACAACTTCACTTACCATTGGGCTGCTTACTACTGTGCTATCGGTTGTCTACTCTGCTGTTCGTGCTGGTTCTTCAACAACTCTTCTCTCCCCTCCTAGCTCACCTCGTGCTGGTAAACTTATGTGCTGTTTTGGTTTGGCAATTATAGCATATTTTCTTGGTTATACATTTTATATCACATGCATTGTTGGTGGTTTGAGAGTATACATATCTTTTACTCTATTAAACTAGGGTTACTTTTGGTTTTTGGTCAACTTGGTTTTGATGTATCCAATCCGTTCTGAATTTCCCACCAAATTTAGTCTAATCCAATCCGAAGTAAGATTTGGTTTGGATCCAATCCGATCCGAATTTTTCACCAAATCTAATCTGTTACAATCCAAAGTAAAATTTGGTTTGGATCCAATTCCTACTTTCTTTGCCAAACAATGTTATCTGAAAATCCAAAAATCTGCTTTTTTGGATTTTCGACCAAAAATTTGATATTGGTTCAAGATATTTGATCAGAATTTTCAAATATCGGGTACTTGTGGATATCATTGGAATAATATCCAAAGCATCAAAGTCTTTGGATCAATTATGAAAGCACTTAAGTCTTTAATGAAAGCGTTTACCTAATCACACAGCTCAAAACTCACGCTTATTTATATATTATTCCTTTTCTTCTTCTACTCCCCCTACTCTATCCTCTAATGAGACAAATTTTCAAAAATTCAAGATCCATTAGCCTACCTATCTTTTTTCTCCTGGTCTCCTCTCCTGTAATTGATCTCTTTCATTATTCCACAGTAAAATAACTCAAACGACAAATGCCCATCATAAATTTTGGATATGAATATATTTGAAATGTAATATTGGATCATATATCCGATCAGCGCTTGGCCCTACTTTTTTATAGTTCTAATGGCCCGTGATCCGTATATTTAAAAATTGTGATAAAAAAGAAATTACTATTGGCCTATATTCGCCCACAATTCTGATATATGCCATGAAAACATGGTTTTAGATGGGTGTGTGTGTGTGTTTTCTCTCTCTCCTTAAAATTAAGAAATATTTTCAAATCCTTATTTTTTTGTAAGTTGGTTTTGGGTTCAAAAACGAATGAAGTAGGAAATGATGATTATTTGGCTTTTTTGTTGGCATACGAGTGATACGGCTTGGGTATAATGAACACTTAGTTTGAGAGAAGGCTTTCTCACCATGTGACTTAAAAGTAGAGATCATGTGAGGATTAATGTTAGCCAACCCGGTAATCATTTGGGGACCAAGGCTTTGTTGTTGTTGATGTTGCTGCTGCTGCTGTTGCTGTGATCTTTGCTCAACTCTAGGATCGCTGTTCTAATTCCAAAATCCAATGGAGCTAGAGATTTACCATTGTTTGGTTTTGCACACAGCTGACTAAATTAGACTGGCATGTTAAGTTAATGCACTATTTATTTAGTTAATGTAACGGGCTTAGCTCTACATCTACTCTTGATGTGTTTGTTGGTGATCTTCTGCTGTTGGATCTTTGTGCTTTAGCATTTTGTTTATTATGGTTTTGTTAAGCTCACATGCAAAATATATGACTTGTTCTAGGGATTATAGTATATCAATTTCTTTTATTGACGTGTTCTCTGGTTTTTGTGAAGGTGCTGGAAGGCCCTTACTTCCTCTCGACAAAGCTGCTGAGGAAGAAGAAAAAGAAAAGGCTAAGCCAGTCACTTACTCTTACACTTTCTTCCATATCATCTTCTCTCTCGCTAGCATGTATTCGGCCATGCTTCTGACTGGGTGGTCAGCGTCTGTTGGGGAAAGTGGTAAGCTGATAGATGTGGGGTGGTCATCTGTTTGGGTCCGCATAGTCACCGGATGGGCAACTGCAGCTTTGTACATATGGTCCTTGGTAGCGCCAGTTCTTTTCCCTGATCGAGAGTTCTAATTGGCAACTTGTATGATGTTATCCGCGGAGTCATATCTATAGATGTTCTGCTGAAGTTCTATTGCTAATGCTTTGTTACAGCTTTGTGAAGAATGTTAAATTTGGTTATGCATGAGTATCCTACTCGTTGAATGCTCTTGTAAATAAGAATGTAAAATTTGCAAACACAATTGAACTGGAATGAGTGAATCAACTAAAGCCAAAACCACAAGCAAGATGGACCCAACGTAATATGAAATGATACTAGCCGAATTATTTACTCAGGGTTAGTCACTAAATCATCTTTAGGAAAGGGCAGTTGTTGAACCCATTTCTTTGGGGATGGAGGGTTGTGAACACGTAACAAAATTGTTTGCTTTTTAATACTTGTACTCCCTTTGTTTATTTTTAATTGCTCCATTTGCTATAAATGGATGCCCCTTATTAATTGCCCCATTCCATTTTGGGCCATGGTTCCCATCTTCTTAACCTCTATTTAATTTTTATAACTCAGTCATGTCACGGTATTATTTCTCCTCAGAGCTCCCTCCAACCCACTAATTACCCTCTCTCCTCTATCACTTCACTTTTTCTCTCTCTTCTGGTTAATGTTTTTTCTCTCCTCATTCAAAATAATGTCCTCTCCATCTATCTTCTTCTGTAATTTTCTTCCACCATTAATTTAACTCTCATCTCCCCCAACTACCTCTATTTTCTCACTACCTTTATAAAAGTAAAAAACCCTATTTTTTTTAACTCATTTGGTATTTTCTCTCTCCTCTGTTGATGAACCTAAAATTCAGTTCTACAATTCCAGAATTTTATTTTTTATTTTTCTGTAGAAATCTCTTTCTTAAGATCTATCCTTGTGTAATTCTCCTTCATAGTGTGGGTATTTGTTTGTTTTGATAGTTCATTCCCAAATTTGATTACCATGAATTTTAATTTCAATAATTTTCAAAAAAAAATCGACCCACAAATCTATGGTAAGGGCGGATTTGATTCAGAGCTAAATAGTGAGGATTATGTATTTTTGAAGGATAAACTTCAATTTTATCATAACCCATCCCAAGTTAACTCTGATGATGATGAAGAGGAGTTCATCCCCAACACCCCCCAATCGTTGTGTGTACGACATCTCCTCTAGCCCCACTTCAGGCACCTGACACACCGGAGACGGTGTGCATGAGTTATACCGAGTACCAGCTAAAGGAGGCAACAGTTCCAGGAGGATTGGGGTGAGGCGATCTAGGTACCAAATTTAAAAAGTGTTGAAATTTTAAAATTTTCAGAAAATTGTGTGACCTTGTGCAATTGTAAAGTTGGTGGAAAATGAGTTTGCTTTATAGTCAACCTCTCCCCCGCGTGAAGAGTTAATCTAATTATAAGTACTTCCCTCTCTCTCTAATTCATTTAATTAAAACCACTAATATTGACTTGGGATCACACTTCCTTTTCTTCCCTTACCAATTCTTAATAAAGCAGATTTGTGGGATGGGGCAATAAAAAGGGACAGAGGGAGTATTATATAGCAATTGCTCAAACTCAGATAATTGTTCAGCTAACCAATTTACATGAGTTAAAACAACCTTGTTGAAGATTAATATTCCTTTTTTTTTTAAAAAAAAATGCAACAATTTAACTATTACAATTTACATGTATAATTTATAATGTGTATCTTTGACCGTTAATATCTTATGTTATCAATTGTTAAAAACTGTTAAAAGTTTTATGTGAAAATATTTAAGAGTATTCCCTCTAATGATTGAACACTAGACATTAAATAAAGTTTTAGACAAATTATAGGGTGTGACCAATTGAGGAAATTTATAAGATAATTAGTGGAGGCATATTTAATTATTATGGAAAAATTGACATGAATATTATGACCTTTGCTCGATCTGCCATAAATAAACCACCTTTTGATAATACCCTAATAAAACGACCTTTGCACATGATTTTCCAAAAATAGGATAAAAAACCTGTAACCTGTGTAATAGGTTAAGGAAGGACACTGTCACATTACGATTAGTTAGATTTTTTTATTTTAATTTTAACATATTTCTTTTAAAAAAATATTTAATTTATAAAAAAATTAATTAAAAAAAAAACTCCTTCCCCACCAACCACAATCTTAATACATCCTACCACCACCCTCCCCCTCCTTCCCAGCCATCTCTTCCTCTCCCACCGCCTAATTCTGGCAGCTCATCCCCTTTCCCTCCAAATTCCGACCACCGCACCGCCTTCCCTTCCCTTCCCAAATCCGGCAGCCCCACCACATTCCTCTCCCAAATCCAACCACCCCACCCCCTTTCCCACCAAATTTCGACCAGTGCACCCCCTTCCCTTCTCAAATTTGACAGCTCACCACCTTCCCCTCCAAAATTTGGCAGCCTCACCACGTTCCCCTCCCAAATTCGACCACCCCACCCCTTCCCCTCCAAAATTTGATGGGAAGATTGTGGGAGATGGTGAAGAAGCTAAATGGGGATGGCGGTGAGGAGAGAGAAAGCGAAGTCGGAGAAATTCGGCAGCCCCACCACGTTCCCCTCCCAAATTCGACCACCCCTTCCCCTCCAAAATCCGACAGGTGGATTGTGGGAGATGGTGAAGAAGTTGGAAGGGGATTGTAATACCCCCAAATCTCCCTCTACGGAATATGTAGAAAATACGTATAAATACCGTAGAGATAGACTTGGGCGTATTACCGCCGCGTGATAACGCAAGGCTCATACTTTGAAAATACTTTTGCAGCGGAAATTCTTTATTCTTATTAATAAAACTTTAAATAAACTTGTTCATAAATTGTGACACAAAAACGACTCCAACTTTTCCTAAGCTAGGTAAAATTCCCGTGGACTCCCGTATGCATCAATCAACTTCCACCTGAAATATTCACCTGCTTACCATAAATGGTAAACAGGGCAAAGCCAAAACAAAAGCACGTATTAGCAATTATGCTAAGTAGGTTATGTGTAAGATAAGTAAAACATAATTTAAATCATTTAAGTTTAATTCAAAGAATTCCAATGCCATACTCATGTAAGAGCTTTTCCAATTCAATGCTTTCAAGACAAGTTTAAAACTCAATCGATTACGTTCCAAAACCATTTCCTCACTAAGTGTGCACACCCCCCAAGTGGTTTACTTTATGAACAAAGGCCAATCTTGAGGAAAGACTAGGTCATGCAAAGTCCATAGTCTTCTCTAATCCATTCCCTAAGTGGGATTCATAACCATATCGATTGATTTACTTAAAAGCACCTTTTAAAAAAAATCCATCATTCTTGAATATTAAGAAACCTGTAAATCAATTTTAATCCAATCCTTTTTAATAATTTTAATCATAATTCAAAGTCTATTTTGATTAACCAAAAATCATTAATTCAAACCATCATGAAACATAATTTTATAAGGAACATAATAAGATACAATTTCATGGACAACTTTCGAAGGTATCAAACCACATAACGTACCTTAATTCTGAATATCAATCAACACTTCGCACTTTCAAAGTTCAATCACAAATACACCTTGCAATTAACATAACCATACGGTTATCACAACATCTTTAGACATAAACCCAAATCTAATGTGCATGGACTATAAAACTCTTTTAAAAATAATATTTTAATATAAAATTATAACTGTGAAATAGGTAACTATATTTTAGAAAACTAACCATGAAGAAAACAAATGAATAGGATTAAAGGAAATTGAATTTGCGTTGGAAAGGATAGGCAGAACTTGCAGAGGTCATAACTCCTTTGATATAACTCATAATTGGGTGATTCTTGAGCCTAACCTCAAGTATTTTTCAAGAGCAATAATTTTTTGTGAAATATAAAAATCCAAAAACCGACCATAAATGCCAGAAAATTGGCTCCAAAGATATACGGGCAGATTTTCTTTTAGAAAAGAGGAAAAGAAAAATAGGAAAAGTTTGAGGGAAAAGAAGAGTAAAAGAAAAGAAGGGAATTGAGTTTTTGGTGGGAAGAATATGAGAGGTATGAGGGGGTATTTATAGGTGTTTAGGTGATGAGTTTATAGCAATTTAGGGTTGTATAATTTATGGAAATTTAAAGAATAGAAATTAGGGTTTTAAATGTATGGAAGGATATTAGATTTTATTTGATCATGAAATTTCGTTTGGTAGGTTTTGAGCTTGGAGTGCAAGTATAGAATAGGATCAAATAATTTTTATATTTAAGAATAGAAATAAGGAAATTTAAAGGATTTTATTTTTAATAAAATAAATTAAAAATCCTTTAGAAAATTCATGAGTGGCCGAAAATATTGAGCTAAATATTGTTCAATATTTTCGGTCCTCTTATGTTAGTTTAGGGATTTTGTAAAATAATTTATTTGCCTAAAATTAATAATCCAATAAAATTTATTTTGTGAAAATTAATACTTGAAAGAATAAAATCAGATTTTTATTAAATAATTGGGGTGGCCGAAAATTTGACTTATAATAATTAATTAAATCAGATTTTTATTATATAAAATCTGAAAATTAATTCGTTAAAAATATATTTCATGAAAATAATTAATTTGGAAAGATATTAAAACAATTTAGATTTTTATTCTATGAAAACCAAAAATACAATTTAATTAATCTACCGAATTAATATAATTTTGGTTTAGCTATTTAATTTTGAGAAAATCAAAAATACTATTTATAACATAAGTATAAAATAGTTTCATTTATTGGATTATCCAATTTAATTAGTTTTGTAAAATAATGATTTAGGCGCCAAAATTTAAATATCATTTTGGCTCCAAACTAAAATACTTCTTAGGAAAATAATTAATTTAGATAATACGTCAAAAATACGAGACTAAAATACTCTTTAATTTAGAAAATACCTTTCAAAAATACGGGGTATTACAGGGATGGCGGTGAGGAGAGAGAAAGCGAGGTTGGAGTTTGGGTGGGAGAGGTGGAGTTTAAGGCAAAAGGTGGTGGGGGTGAGTGGAGAGTGCGGCGGAGGGATGAGAGAGAATGTGGCCTAGGGGGATTTTTTTTTTAAAATTTAAATCAATTTTTTGTATTAAAATCATTTTTTTTTAAATAAGAAAATTGTAAAAACAAAAAAAAAAAAAAACTAACCAATTACAAAGGGAAATGTGTCATACTAAACCATTAAACAGGTTACCAACCGATTTTTCCTATTTATGAAAGATCATGTGCAAAGGTCTTTTTATTTGGGGATTATCAGAAGATGTTTATTTATTTATTTATTTTTATTTTTATGGCAGACAGGGCAAAGGTCATAATATTCATGTCAATTTTTGTTTTGTGTTGAAAAATATTCATATGCAATTGAAAAAAAAAGTTGCATGTGCAGGGTTGTAGGAGAAAAAAAATTTGTTTTTTGTAAGTGGTGTTAGGTCATGTTCTCTTCACCATACAAAAATTAGCATGTTTGGCCATACTATGTG